AATTGTAAATGAAAATGTTTTGTAAACTTTGTTGTCCAATCCCTTGCATTTATTTTTAATGTCCCTCTGAGACTCATTATACAGATGTTCACGTTAGTACGTCTTCTGCTCACATTCCTTAACTATTTTTCTCTCATTCTTTTCGTTATATCACTCTTACCTGCCTTCTATCTAATTCTTTTTTTTTTTTGCAATTCTAAACATCTCTTTAGTGTTTTTTTCCAACAATTTATTTTTATATCCATTTTTCCAGTTGGTACACCTTAAACTTTTAGCTCTTTTCTACCTTCCTCTTTCTTAAAAGCTGCCTCCCTCACTTATAGACATTTAACCCGTGGGGTAGTATGAAGGATAGACTTGAAAGCAGCCACCATGGTACCTGACTCCTGGAATTTATGCCTTGGCGGAATCCCCTCCTCTTGAGTAGAATGAGGCAAAGGGAATGGGATGTATGCAATTACATATATGTGATTACATAAGACTGTTGAACCCATGTTGTTAGAATCTCTCCTCCCTCTACTGGCTTTGAAGGAACAGATGCCATGAGTTCTACAATTATAAAGAAATGAATTCTGCCAATAGCATGAGAGAGCTTAGAAGTGCATCCTGCCTCTTTTGAGGCTTTGATGAAACCCCAATCCTGGCCAGCACCTTGATCTCAGCCCAACACAGATGGGCAAGAAGAAAGACTCAGAGACTAGACCACCCATCTTCATGTATCGTGACCTACTCCTATCACCCCAGATCAGACTCTGGAACTGCTGCTGCCATTTTTCTGCTCTGTTGTAATCATGGGCCAACCAATAATCCACCTGGGCAATGTGTGCAGGAAAAAAAGGCACAACTAGAAAGCTTCCTCTCGGCCTATCCCTGTCCATGGCACTGGCCCTTGCCTGTTCTAGATTTCCCCTCCCACCTTTAGCCTTCATCACATTGTGACCCAACCAGTCTCTGACCCACATCCAGAAATTTCTCACAAAAAAGTGCAGAGATGGTAAGTGTATTTAGCTGAAAGCTTTTTCATAATTGGAATACCCTCATGTAACTGTCACCCTGACCAAGAAAGAGAATATTACCAGCAGCCCAGGGGCTCCCTCCTAGCCTATTCCAGTCACTATCCTTAGCTTTTAATTTATGTAAATGAAATCAAACGGTGTGTATTCATTTGTGTCTAACTTCCCTATAACTCAAAATAACGACTGTGAGATTTGTGCATTTTTTACCTATAGTGGCAGATCACTCATTCTCATTGGTATATGTTTTCCATGGTATGAATACACCACAATTTATTTGTCTACTTTTTTCTTGATGAGTGCTTAGGTAGTTTCAAGTTAGGGGCAATTAGAAACAAGCTGCTCTGTTCATCTTTACATTTTTTGATTAACGTAAGTCTTCATTTGTGTTGGGTATTTTCTTAGTAGAGAAACTGCTAGGTCATAGAATATACATATGATCAGCTTTAGATAATGCTGCCAAGAAGTTTTCCGAAGTGTTTGTACCAATTTACATTGCCATAGAAGTGTATGGTAGTTCTTCATCCTACCCATCCTTATCAACACAAGGTATTTCCCATCTTTATCATTTAAGCCTTTCTAGCAGGTGTCTCATGGTTTCATGTTAAGTCCCGTGATCCATCAATGCCTCTCTCATTTTTGTGGAATCTCTAGGGATGAATTCAGGTGAGAACCTAGAAGCCATATGAGAAGTCCCAAGATCTGTAGTCAGCATGCTAGAGAACCAGGGAGCTGATGTGTAATTTTAGTCTAAAAGCCAGCAGGCTTGAGGCTCGAGAAGAGCTAATGTTTTAGGTTCAAGCCCAAAAGCCTTTGAAGACCAGTGTTCCAACTCAAAGCAGTCAGATAGGAGTTCCCTCTTATTTATGGGAGAATCAGCCTTTTTGTTCTTTTCAGGCCTTCAAATGATTGGATGAAGATCACCCACATTAAGGAGAGCCATCAGCTTTACTCAGCCTACAGATTGAAAAGTTAATCTCATCCAGAAACACCTTCACAGACACACTGAGAATAATGTTTGGCCGAATATCAAGGCATCTCACTCCCCAGTCAAGATGACACATCAAACTAGCCATCATACCATATTAGCTTGTCATCTTGTCTACAACCATTCCTTTCAACTGTGATATAGTGTTATTCCATATATATATATATATATATACACACACACATATATAGTTAATATAAGTGAAAAAGTATTATTTTTAATACTATATTTGTGAGTTTAATCTATAATCTGTTATATTTGCTACAAATTATTAATTCTCATTGATGTATAATAATTCATTGTGTGACTACGTGGAAATTTATTTACCTGGTCTACTATTGATGAGCCTGTAGATAGAGTCCAGTTTGGAGCTTCTCACTGATTTTGTCACTTGGAATTTTAGGTTGCTTCTGATTCATTTCTAAACAGTATTGCAAAGGCATCTTTTCCAATGTCTCCTTGTACACACACATAACTGTTTCTCTTGGGTGGCCACAGGTCAAAAACATGATCCATCTGGACCATAAGTGGAGAGAAAACAACACAACCAGAAAGTTCTCTTTCCACCTAGTCCCTGTCCATTATGGTATCTACTCTTTTCTCTCCATCCTCACCACATTATGACTTAACCAGCTGCTGCCCTTTCCCAGAAATTTTTCACAGATTTTTTTTATAAATTTTTATTGAAGTAAAATATACTTATGAACAAGTACATACATTCTATGTGTGCAGTGCAATGAACTTCCCTAAATTAAATACACATAAATAACCCAGATAGAGATGGAAAATTACCAGCATTAAGAAATGGAATGATGCATCACAGATTATGTAATTTTAACTTTACTGCATACTTCCAAATTGCTCTTCCAAGTGACTGTGTCAACTAACTCTTGTAGAAGTGAAAAAATATATCCATTTCTTCCCATCCTTGTCAATATTTGGGGTAGTGAAACCCTAGTTTTGACTATGCCAATAGATAAAAACTTTGTCTTATTGTTTCAAGTTGCTTTTCCTTAATTTTTAATATGACTGGGCATCTTTTCATGTTTATTGCCAGTCAAATTTCTTTTGCTCATTTTGCTATCGGTTGTCCTGTTTTGACTCTTTCCCCTTGGAACCCATGGCTTACCCAGTTTTCTGGATAGCTCCCTCCTATTTGCTGCCCCTTGTTACTGGACCAAAGGGGATCCACTCCTTGGCACACTATAGGCAGAGAGAACACCAGGAGGCATAGCCTCACAAAGTCAACTTTATTTGTACAAACAAGGAAATCATGGAGAATAATTTCCAAAGTCGTGTCTCCCTGAACAAAGGAAAGCAGGCTCCTTTTATTAGGAGTTGGGATAAATATTCCAAAGAGTATTTTAAAATTATAATGAGGTGGAGGCACTTATTTTTTAAGATTTTATTTATTTGAGAGAGAGAGAAAGCAGGAGCAATGGGGAGGTGTAGAGAGAGGGAGAAGCAGGCTCCTTGCTGAGCAGGGAGCCCTATGAGGGGCTTGATCCCAGGACCCCGGGATGGTGACCTGAGCCAAAGGCAAACAGTTAACCGACTGAGCTACTCAGGCACCCTTTCTGGCACTTTCTGAGACTCCTATGCAGGCATCTTCCTCAAATGTTTCTTGTTCTGTTTCAGCAGCTCATTGTTAGTTTCTAGAAGGTAAGACTGACACTTAGGCAGAAGCTTTTAGGACCTTCCTGAGTTCAGGAGGTCAGGCCCAAGTTCAGGAGGTCAGACCAGGAACATTTGTTGCCCCTTCAGTATAGACTTAATATCTTCTTATCTACAGCATTCTATATTCTTCTGGGCTTGCAGATAATGCTAAAGCTTTCCCAATTACTTTCACGTGGGCCACCATTTTTTATGATCATCACTAACCTGCTACTCCTTATACCAGGTGTCATGAACCAATGGCTGCACATATTTGGAGCATTTTCCATGTAAGTAATCAGGTAGTTATGCTTGGTTGCAATACAAGCAGCCTAGTTCTGTTGTTTTACACCTGGCCGTTTACCCTTACTTGTGTTAACTTCATGCCTCAATAGGCTTTTGAAATGTGATACAAATCAATATATGTTAATGTCAAGGCACAGCTGCTGTCCAGCAATTTCTGAAGAGATGAGTTATTACCTCATTTCCATCACCAGTTGTGGGATCTTGAGCAAGTCATTTCAGCTCTGACAGCCAGCCTTTTCTAGGGTAAAATGAGAACATAAATATACATCCCCTGCCTACCTCACAGAGTTGCTTGGATAGGAAATAAAAGAACATCAAGCTGATAAGAGTATTTACCAGGCACCACTCCCAGTCACTACACAAAGGTCATAGCTTATTGGCAAACACAGACCTCAGGCTTTTCTGAGAAGTGCCCTGTGAAAATCTAGAGTAAACCACGGTGTGAAATACAAATATGCTATTTCCCCATGTTTACTGAAATAATGTACAGGCTACTAAGTAAGTGGCTAGGTGAGTATTTTAAGTCAGAAGGCAAGCTCAGCCAAAGCAAATGCATAATTATGATCTGATATCGGAAGAGCCAACATGACCTGAATTAATCAGTCTGCTGTTGAGTCCAAGTTCCTGTATTGTTGAAGCTGGAGCAGAAGTGGGGGTCCATTCTGGAAGTTAGGGAAAGCCTAGCTGGGCAGGAAGTCCTGTCTCTGGAGCCATATGGATCGCTTTTGGCGCGGGGGGCGGGGGGCTCCCACGGGCTCTGTGTTGAGGCCCCGGGCCTGGGCGGGACGGTGGGGTGAAGAGGCTGTGCCGGCTCCTGGATCATGACTGCTGAGGAGAGAGCAGCACATGGATCCTCGCAGGCATCAGGCAGAGCTCTTCAGGGAGGTGGGCTCCGGGAGGGCTCCGTGCCTCTGCTGAGCCGAACTCCAGCCAGAAGCCTTGGGAGGCAGAGCAGGTGCAGAGCTGCAGCGCTCAGAGGGGAGCTGGACTCTTCCTGGGCCGCAGGCGCCGGGACAGCCAGGCTCGAGTCCACCTGAGCCATGCCAGCTAACCTCACAGAGCGCGGCCCGGACTCCGACGCTTCCAGAGGGACCAGGCAGACCCTGGATGCTTCCCCAGTCCTCTGCACAGAAACGGTAACTTTCACGGAAGTGGTGGAAGGGGAGGAGTGGGGCTCCTTCTACTACTCCTTTAAGGTATGTTTCCTGCTTTCCACTCTGAAAAGGATTTTAAATAATGAGACAAGTGGAATTTAAGAGACCCAGCTAAACTATCATTGCCAATACCGTGAATGGGTATAGTTTGTTTTCTTTAACTAAAAGAGTAACAGAAAAAAAAACCCTGATGAGCTAAATCAAGGAGTTTTTCATACTCTGCAAGGACCTATACTGTAGTTTCTTATGAATACTGGTCTTTTTGTTCTGCTGCTGCTGAAAACGTGTGAATCTTGAGTAACATTTAACCAAGAGGCTGCAGAGTGGATGATTTTGTTTGTTTGTTTGTTTCCCCCCTTTCCTTAGGTAAAAACACTTCTAATTAATTCTATAGTAGTGCTTGAAATGTTGTCTGTTTCCTGTAGGGGTTATTGCTGTGAGTTTTTTGCTAGGAACATCATAAGTGTGGAGAGCCCACATCCCCCAGGACAGTGCCTGGTGCAAGGAGAAACATAGCAGTAAGGAAGGAAAGACCACACTTTTTTTTTTGATCCTGTGCTTTGAACATCAGTGAGCAATAGGTTCTTTGACTGTTGTTTGTGGTGCCACAGTTTGCAACAAGTTGCTTCCTAGAACAAATGAGTAAATCAGACTTTGGTGAATTTACCTTCAAAGCATCCAGGAGTCACACTGAGGAAATGATCCTCATTAGGCTAATACTGTTCCCTCTTCTACAAGACCGTAGTCAGAAACAAACCAGGCATCTGGAAAACAAGTTCTCTGCCTCTTGCATCAGAATGCAGGCATGTCAGGATATTTCACACGCAGCCTGGAGGTGCGTTAAGTCGTGGCAATAATTCCCAGGTCTCAGACTGGTCTTTTTTTTTTTTTTAAGATTTTATTTATTTATTTGACAGAGACACAGCGAGAGAGGGAACACAAGCAGGGGGAGTGGGAGAGGGAGAAGCAGGCTTCCCGCGGAGCAGGGAGCCCGATGCGGGGCTCGATCCCAGGACCCTGGGATCATGACCTGAGCCGGAGGCAGACGCTTAACGACTGAGCCACCCAGGCGCCCCTCAGACTGGTCTTTTATACCAGAAAGGAAAATACTTCAAGAAAAATTCAATCCATTTTTGTTTGTTTGTTTGTTTGTTTAATCCTCTGGGTGTTCTTGAAATGATTTGGTTTTTACTCCACAAAATAGAATTACTGTAACATCTACCTCTTTACTGGAGCTTTGTTCTTTGCAAACACTCAAAATAAAACTTTCAGCAGGGAGCAATCCTGGGAGGCAGCCTAGCCTTCCTCAAAAGCCAAGAGACAAAATAGCAAAGCAGAGGCTGAACAAGTCACTTAGGCTGGTTCCACGGGACCCAGTCCCTCAGAACCACCTCCTGATGGTTCAGGAGCACAGCCCCACTGCCCAGCTCCATGACAGAAAACAGACACTGAAATTGGAGTTTGTTGCCATTTACCTTTGGGTACATCCTCTCTATGGAATCAGCTTGCAGATCTAGAGAGTCTGTCTTGGAGAAGCAGGCTTTGTGCACCCAGGGAACACACCGCTCTTTCTCAGGGACACTGCCTCTGCAGCCTCTTTGATAGTTATAAAACCTGACAGCAAATAGAACGAAGAGAGAATGGCCATTGCAAAAGGGATACTAATCAGCAATAAGGCAGTCGTTCTGAGACGCAGGCAATAATCACTCTCCACTGAAATCTCTTTTGCCCTTTTTTGAATACAGCTCCTAAGGGGTATTTTGAATGTTCAGACAAATCCCTGCTGGTTCTCTACTAGTGTTTATATTCTGTCCTAACAACGTCCTCTCTAGGTACTAAAGAGAATCACATCATTTTCTATCTCATGCCTATTCATGTTTGCCCTCAAACAACTAGACCACTGGACAAGAAAAGGAGATAAAAGAGAGGGACTGTTTGTCCAGGAGCTTAGGATGTTCCATTTCATTTTTTGACCCACGCAATCATTGACTAAAGCACAGTGATGTGTAGTTACAAGGCAGTCTGTGGTGTTTGTGGGCACCGAGCTTAAATGTTTCAGGGTAACTTTTTCCCATGGTCCTCTTGGAACAGGGCACTTCTGTTACACTGTGGATCCAGAAACAATTCTGATGCAAACCCTTGTTCATTTTTTATTGCACATACTTCTCAAGAAGAAAGTCTGAACTGCTCTTTACTATCTCCCAAACGTGTCCTTTTAATCCCTGTTCTTTACCAAAAGCAGTAAAAATATCATAAAAATAAAAATCGTGTCAACAGTAAAAGTAGCAGAATTAATAGCAACAACAATAGCCTAACATCTCATTTGCTGTAGGCTTTCTTGGTGCCAGGAATCGTTCTAAATGACTTCTGTGACGTATCACATTTCATTCTCACACACTGTGGTGCGTCTTTCCATCTGGAATTGCCTTCCGCCTTCATCTGCATTGATCTAAATTCCACCCACTCTGAAGTCTCCTCTTGAATTGCTTCTTCCATGAAGCCCCCCCCGCCCTTGACTCATCTCTCCTTTGAGTGTACCTGCCTTCTTGCCACTTAATCCAGCTGTCTTCAACTGCTATTTCAATATGAGTCCAGAAGATGTATAATAGCCATTAAGCCCCTTGAGTGATTTTTGTTTCGTATTCTCTCCAGAAGCCAGCACCATGCTAGGCATACTCAATAAACATTTACTACATTAATGAAGTGTGGTGTTCTGTCTCTTGTCAACTGCCCATATTTTGTCAGAAAGCTTGCTTTCTCAGTGATAGAGGTGGGGGTCTTGTTAACCATGACTCCACAGGGCAGCCCCTGCCCTGCCTTGTCTCTCTACCCACTATACTCGCCAAGCAAGGTCCTTCTCTGCATGAACATTCAAATCATCCTTATCCCATTTCTAAGACAACGTGACCAAAGTAAGTTATGGATTCCAGTGGGTGGGGTATAGAATTAGTTGTGGTGCCATAGACTAGTACCTAGTATCCGATTTAGCCCTCGGAAACCGTACCCAACCATGTTGTAGCCTTACTAGTCTCAGAGGTCTTGTTCGGTCTGCATGCTTGGGCTTCTGTCTTTCCTGCCTAGCACTTGAGTTCTTGTCTGAACCCCAAAGCTCTCTTGGCAGGAGACAAGACATCCCTGTCTGGATCTGGTTAGCTTTCTCTTCCACAGGCTTAGTGCCTTTCCCTCCTCCCATTTCCACCCCCAAATTCTTGCCCCCACTTTCCACTTCTCTAACCTACTCTGTTATCTAAGCATGCCCTGGGTTAGAGGCAGGAAGGTCAGCGGAGAGTTTACCACCCCCTTCCCCTATCATGGGCTTCATGTGACCAACCCTGTGCGGTCCTGGGTTCAAGATTCCCAGCTCAAGCCCTGGTTTCCTTCATAGTTTCCAATTTCAAGTTCCCATCCAGTTCAATTCCAGTACCAAATTCCAGTACCAAATTCTACCAGAAATTCCCAAGGAGGATAGGACTTTGCTAATCAGAAAGTGAATGGAGGACGTGAATATGAACCTGTCCAAGTGGAAGACAAAGATGAAACTCTTCATTTTAGCCTTTCGTTTTGCCCGTGAATGTGCTAGCAATGTTTCCCGTATCTCTAATTTTTAATGATGAGAAAATTAATTCAAAGTAACTGGGAGAGAAATTTGTCTGAATTAGTAAATTGGTGAAATTATAAAATAATGCAAATGAACTCATTTTTATTACTCTCAGGTGAAGGAAGAAACTTTAACCAAGACTGCTAAATATTACCTAATGACGATCTTTTATTGAATCTTCTTCAGTGGGAAGCTACAAATGATAGGTGATTAGTCTAACTATTGTTGATATGTAAATGGTTGCTTCTAAGGGCTTGAGGGTGATTGGACACAGTTTTTTTGCCTTTGTTAGTGTAGCCTCCTGCCTACTCTCTTGCTATTAATTTTCTTAACGCATCTTTCCTCCTTTAATATAACAAAAGCAAATTCTAGTTCGATTCCTGTCCCACTTATTTCACAGGGAGCTTTAGCAGGAGCTCAATTGAGAAAGCTTATGCAGACTTGCTTGTTTTCAGTATATTTTGGTTGACAACTCATTTCTAAGAACTTGATCTACTTCCTGAGGTCCCTGACCTCCCCATGTTATCTCCTGCAGATTATAACAAGGGCCTGGCATTCACATCATGCATTTGTTTATGTCTTCTACATAGTTTCGCTTGGTATGTTCATTTTCAGTACATTCATATGGTTGAATATGTGGCTGTTTATAAGGAAATGACTACTAGTTTTGCTCAGTTAAATAGTTATTAAAGGTCTGCTATTTACTACCTGTTTGTGCTGTGCCAACCGAGCACTCCACTTTCCATTCCCTTACTGGGTAAGCTCTATCATGTCCAGTTTTACTTTGTGTCATTGAGAAAGGCACAGATATTACTGGTTGGCTCTACGGGGGCATCAGACAATTCCCAAGCTATGCACTGTAGTTTGTGAGAAAGGAAAACTTGCTCAACTAAATTTCTCTTTGCATTACTAGTACATCTCAGGGCAGGAAACATAATCTTAGTTAATTCCGAGTGAACTCAGAATTACAGTTTTTCAGCCTATGAAGGGTTTTCCCATTTTCTGACTCAGGGAAGGTGTCTAAGCTCTAGGGATGGTGCCTCTGTAAGTGCATTCACATGTGTGTGATGGGGGTAAGGGAGGGGGTCCAACCTGGGGAGAGACCTGGGCAAGTTGGTGTCAGCTTGAAAAGTGCTGTCTGGCTTTCAGAAGCGGTTTTCCCTGTTCCAGACCCTTGTCTGGATCCCTGTCTGACCCAGGTCAGGACCACACTGTTTCCTGAGGCAGAGTACTTTTGTCACATTTCTTTCAGGCACACGGGTGTTCACATCTCCCTCTTTCCCTCTTAATCCCAGCCAAATTTGTTTGTCCTTACTAGGAATGAAAGTTCAACCGCCTCCCTCCCAGCTCTGGGCTGTGGGAAACAGCGGCGTCATCTCTAGTGCTCTCTCTACCCACATGGCGACCATATCTGTACCGCTCCCGCCTCATGATAGATGGGGAA